CCATGTGACTTTTACCACCTTAAGAGACTTACCTGCAGAGCAAGATGACCATTATTCACCATAATGTTGCTCCTTTTCCCCCCCGCCAAAAATTTCATCACCACCCATCTCCCCAAAAACGTTAACTTCTGTTCCTTTTTGTAGTCAAATGTGTTCTAAACGCTTCATCTCCTTCGAGTCTCACATTTTATGAGATGTGTGTATGTGCATGATAGCTTCCTTCCCATTAGTCTGTCGATTTATTTTACACAATTATTGAAATTCCTGAGAGTAAAAATCTCCCTTATTCTATAATAATCAACACTACCCCTCAATTCTAAACTGTTTGTTTGAAACTCTACTAAAATTTAGCCACTGACTCTAATTCAGTGAAATAATATTTTTTTCATCAAGCCATTAATAGTGACCCAATCTAGATTTTAAAGATCTAGAGAGGGTTGTTTTTGTCATTAAAAAAAATTAACACAGGTACCAATGGCCATCAAGTATCTTTATTGTTAGAAAGTGTTTAAGGATATCCAGAATGAAGACAGGACATTATCTTGCATGACAATTAACAGTAACTCCAGAGTACCTGTCTCCTGAAGTCCTTTTCCTAGAACATGTCGTACAAAATGAGCATTGACTATCCAGGTCAGTGTCTATCCAGGTCAGTGTCTCACATCTCAGAAGCAGAGTAACTCAGAACCAGAGTTCTTTTCGATTCAGGCTTACTTTTAGAATTATTTAGATTTAGACTATATTCAGTATCATCTAAATATAATGAATACAATCTAATTCATAATGCATACTTTAAGTGCATGTATGACCAGTGCAAAAGCAAAATTATCAATGCATCCTTTCTCAAAAGAACCCACCTATGGCCTATGTTATATTACTGTCATCTATTTGTTATTTCCCCACTGTGGGAGAATTTTAAAGTGCATAAATTTTTTTAAGACAACAGGTTTATAAATATCCTCTATGGGTATAAAACAGAATTAGTATTTCTTTTTGTGTGTGTATATATATTTTGAGTTTTACCAGAAGCCAGCAAAGCTGTGTAATAAATATTCAGGAAGAGTATATAGCATGATTATAGGAAGAAGAATGAGATAGAGCTTTGAATTTATTAAAACTGAAGTGGACTTCTAAGTAAGCTTTTCTAGCTGAAAACATTGCCTGCACTTTAAAAATGGAGAAGATGAAGACAACACAGCTTATCATCTTAGCTACACTCTAACTGCATTTCTCGGTGCTGCTCATGAACATTCTTTCATTTATTCTTAGCTCCATCGGTACTCCAGTGAGACCTCCTCACCTTCTTGATTGCCTAAACCAGTTTTAATAATCCTCCTCACTACCACTCCACTTCAGCCACCTGCCTGACGGCTGCAGCTTGGCCCCTAACCCAAGTCCCTGGGAGTAACTGAGTCCTCTCCAACAGCTGGCTGCGCCACCCTGTCTGAGCAATTCACTTACTCTACCTCCAACAAACTCTGCACTGTCTACTGTCTACCCTCTTCTTGCCTGCTCTCTTTCTCATCAGTTCTGGATTTCATGGGAGAAAGTCATAGTCACACCCTGTAACAGCAAAATTCATGGGTTTGTAATTTTCTTAACTATATTGCACTTGTAGTCAAGCTCTTGAAGTTATGTGTGAGTATTGCGTCTACAAGGGGCATGCACTGTGCGTGTGTATGTGTGTGTGTGTGTGTGTGTGTGTGTGTGTGTGTGTCGTGCTGGGGATTTAAATCAGGCAGGCTTGTATGGGCAAGCTCTCTCCTGCTGAGTTATATCTCAGCACACTGAGGCTTTTCTCAATTCTCTTAATAGCTTGAAACTAATAATAGTCAACATTTGCATAACTGAAACCGGAAAGAACTGCATACGGTCTTATTTTTTATTTTGTTGGATATGATAGAAAATAGATTAAATTTATAACTTGTCATATCTATAACCTTTACATTGCAAATAGTCTTCCAAATTAAGGAAATTCCTGTAGTTTTTGAAAATACTATTGGATTCTGTAAAAAGTATTTACGTCATTGACTAACAAGTGATATTCATATGTATTTTTGTATCTTTTTTTTAAAATATGGACCGCTTCACGAATTTGCATGTCACCCTTGCGCAGGGGCCATGCTAATCTTCTCTGTATCGTTCCAATTTTAGTCTACGTGCTGCCGAAGTGAGCACATATTTTTGTATCTTAGTGTTACATTTATCTCTAATGTAAATGAAAATATCAAATGGGGTCTATATGAGACCCTTATTTTCTCACCAATTCCAACCATTAGATACAAGAATTTGGCAAAAATCAAACAAAACATTCTTTGAGAATTGTACACAGAGCTTAAGATAAAGGATAATATCTACTATTATTATTCATAAGTTGTGTGCTTCACAACTGTATACCGGCACAATGTTTACTACCCCCTGAGTATATGAGGAAGATATCTGCCTTCCTGATCTTCACAATGTTTACTACCCCTTGAGTATATGAGGAAGATATCTGTCTTCCTGATCTTCAAAATGATGGCTAACCCTGAACCAGCTGGCTGCAGGTGACAAACTGCTGGTCCGGACCAACGTGGCCCACAACAGTTCTCATAAAAATCACATAACCCACATGTGAAAGCCTCTCGGCCAGCAGCAGTTCCCAGATGGAAGGCCTTTATGGGCACATGTAATTTCTAACTTCACTTTTTCATACATTGTTAATAGGTTTTCATCCAAATTCAGCGTGTAATGTATTCAGTAGCGATGGTGAAGACATAAAATTTATCATTTTACTTGCATCTTTCTTGCCTTCTCTTTTTTTCTTTACCAACTCTTTGTCTTTTCCTCATTTTAATGTTGCCTATGAACTATATCAGTAATGAGGCCATGGCATTTTCTATTAAAATCTGTAGTTTAGACTTTGTTTGACCTAATTTAAATGCTGACCTTGTAGACCCATATTAATTAGTCTGAATGGCCAAATCCCTTGTCAATTATGCAAATGTAGAAATTTCAGGTTGAGTTATTTTATGTTAAGGTTAAGATGGAAAAAAATATGATAAATGTGACTAACTTGTGATCTTACAGTAAAATTATTTCTTACCATTATGGTATCATGAATTCAGAAATGTTTCCACTTTGTTTTATTCTAAATTCAGACATATGTATCACTACTGGCATGGGTTTTAAATGGTTTGTTTTAGTCCTTATTCGTGTGTGTGTGTGTGTGTGTGTGTGTGTGTGTGTGTGTGTGTGTGTGCCACATATGTACAAGTTCCTGTTGGCTCCTCTGGAGCCGGAGCCCACAGATGGCTGCGAGCAAACCAGTGCAGATGCTGGAGACTGGACTCGTGGCCTCTGGAAGAGCAGTGCATGCTCTTGAGCTTTGAACCATGGGTATTTAAAAATATTGCACATCAATGGTAAATTGGGTCTCTATAAGGGAAACTTTTCTTTGTGTAATGGTGAACCAATTTAGTTAATTTTAGTTGTTCTGGTTCCTTTTATCAAAGTATAATGAATTTGTGTTAACTATGAAGTATCTTTACTTTCTCATCTTAAGCTTCCAGATGGACTCAGGACCAAAATTTCATTTTAAAATTAAATCTTTATAATTTGAGCATCGTGTTAGAAGTGATTGTTAGATCCCCAAGCTATCCATAATGTGGCTTAACAGTTCTCCTGACAGTAACCCAAGTTCTGATTTCTGGAGCAAGAGGGAGAAGGAGGGGAGGGGAAGTGATAAGAGAGAGACAGGGGTCAGGGTAGAGAGGGAACAAAGATGCTCGAACCAAAGTAGAGAACATGAAAGGGGGGACCAGAGAGCCTTGTCCGGCCTGTGCTCTGTGAAAGGGGGGACCAGAGAGCCTTGTCCAGGCTGTGATCTGTGAAAGGGGGGACCAGAGAGCCTTGTCCAGGCTGTGCTCTGTGAAGGGGGGGGGGACCAGAGAGCCTTGTCCGGCCTGTGCTCTGTGAAAGGGGGGGGGGACCAGAGAGCCTTGTCCGGCCTGTGCTCTGTGAAAGGGGGGAGGAACCAGAGAGCCTTGTCCAGGCTGTGATCTGTGAAAGGGAGGGGGACCAGAGAGCCTTGTCCAGGCTGTGATC